CGCTACATCTTCTCCTGCGTGTAATAATCAGTATGGACCCTACATCTTCTCCTGCAGGTAATAATCAGTATGGACCCTACATCTTCTCCTGCATGTTCTCATACGACTGACTTTTTATTATATTTTTTATGGTGGGATATATGACGTGTTAGAAAGATTTCTCAACTAATGGGTTTATGAAAGTATTATTTCTAGACTAGTATTTAAAAATCTTGATGATCTAGAACTATGATGAAGCATGGTTGTATGTGATCCAGGTGTTTACCGTCTGAGCTAGAAAAAAGTTCTTGGACGTTTTTTGTTACCGCTGAATGAGAAAGAGCCGTAAGTTTAGAAAGATATTTTTATTCTCCTTAAAAAACATTCAATATGGACATCTAAGCAAGCGTGTTGAGAAGTGGGTTATTTTATTGGGTTATTTACCAAACGTAGGGGTAAGCTCCATAGTATCCGGCATAATGGTGACCATAGAACGGTAGACCATGAGCATAACTGTAGGTGTGGGCAGCAGGGACGACACCGGCGTAGCTCAGAGCAGGAGCAGCTGCGTATGTCACAGCATGAGTGGCAGGGGCCACAACAGAAACTCCCTTGTTGATGGAAGCGCTGGCAGGATCCTTAGGCTCAACGCCAGGTTCGTTAGTTGAGATGTCGGCGCGGTATCCGGCACTATCAGCGACGTAATTGACGATACGAACACGGCCATCAGCATCCTTCAAACCATAGGAACCAGCTTTGTTACCAAAAGCATCACCAGACTCCCTGCGAAAAGTTCCGCCCGTGAAATGGCCCTCATCGTAGCCAAAGTTATAGTTTCCAATATTCTAAAGCAAAATATATAACAAGTGCTTTTAACTCTAACCGTTTATTAAAATATTTTCCAATAAACATAAAATCTTAGGACAGACGTTCGTTTAAGTGTTAACTTCAAACACTTAAATACTTCTTTCAATATTATTACATAAAAAAAACGTCGCTATTACCTTTAATCAAGCAAAGTAGGGATAGAGACATTTTATAAAACATTGGTATGTTCTATAAGCTAAGTCTGATTTGGGAACATTTTTTTCCTTTAGACATTTTCCTTTTGCTTGGTCTTCACAATGTATAACATGTAAAATTATCAAATCGAAACTTTTTTTATCAGAACATTTTCGATTAATGAAAAACTTCTCGTTACTTTTGTCTCGATTTCATCACCTACAGATGAAGCTCTGCTCTTGCTACGTCACTGTTTCTAAATCTAGATATCTAGATCTAAGTATACTTTAATATGAATATTTTCAAAATAAGTTCAACTCTACTATAAAAAAAAACAAAAGACGTAAAGTTTCTATGGCGAGATTAGTGGAGTCACCTAAAACAAATTTAAAATTAGAAATTATTTTCTTTTACAGATACACAATTAATAATTAGTTTAGTTCTATTGTTGCCTGGTCCTATATTTAAAGACCTCCCACCTCTAGTAATAAAGTGATCAACAGAACGATACAAAATTGAAATTGAGCGCTTACGTCTTGATGACGGTACTGGGTACTGGCTCCAGTTCCAAAAACACCTGGGGTATAGAGTATACCAGCCTGGGCGGCGGCTACCAAGGTGCACAACAAAAGCAGCTGGAATGGTAAAAGTTGCGTAAAATGTTGTTATCCAGAAAACACATATAAATTTAATGGGTGGTTTAAAGCTACATTGTAATGTATTTTAATTCAAGTGTTTACATATATATGCATACGTATACATAAACGATACAAAATACTTTTTACGTGCGATACAATATAATATGTACACCTAAAATGAAACCCAACTCACCTTCATGATTTAGGCAGGTTTCTTGTCTGATGCTCTGCAGCAGTAGTGTTCAATCTCTAGCTCACTTGGCTTTTATAGATGGTTCAAACAGTTGGTCATCGATCACGTGACTTACTATAGCTATTGTCTTGTGGGAACAAAAGCTCCACCCAGAAAGACGGAGAAATTAGGAGATGGAAAACCCATGCAAAGTTTTGAAAGGTTAAACTTCCTATAATGATTACACCCACCTATGTATCACAGACTGATACAGTCCTATTCTTTGCACCCTTCTCAATGTCATTGAAAATTGCGCCTCTCCCCTTTCAGAGATTCTTAAACACAGGCATTCTACAACCTTGACAGTGCACGCTAGTTTTTACAACAAGGTCGTTCTCTAACAGCCTTGATCCAATTATGCAGTACTGTAAACAGTGTATATTAAATATTACCGGCAGGAGACATACTTATAAATGTAGAGAAAGGTGTGTCACTCTGTAACAGACGTGTGTTCCTTTATTATGTGCTGCCTTGATGCCACAGTTCGTTATGTTAATCTTTAGAGTCCTCGTTTCTAAATATAAGTTAAAATTTCTTTTTAAGATCTCGCAGGATCACTGTTGGGACTTGGTCTGAGAAAAACTGCCTTTATACTTACAAAGAGAACCTTTTCTACAAATCAAATACACCAAAATTTGATTTGTTCATTTTAGAATTTTCGTGCAAAATTATGTAAAGAGCTTTCTACGTATAACTGTCCCTAATTTTGTACTGATAAACTATGGTGAAGGTAAATTGTCAATAGCTCCCACCGTGCAATTCTTATTTAAGCTGAAAAGTAAAGTTTAATGATAGAATACTTGTTTTAATTGAAATGTGAAAAGTATATCAAAAGAAATTCATAATTATACAAAACATTTGCGAAACGATTACAAACATATTATAAAATCGATGTGTGATAGCACCTTGGAATCCAAAAAAAAAAAAGACCCAGAGGCTCCGGTGTTTTCAAAAATTAGTCTATTCCTCAGTATCTTCATCTTTCGTCCACAACGAAGAACATGTCGTAGTTCGAAAGAATCCCAAATAACACGGGAAAATTGAAATTAATTGAAGAAACAGTTTAAGTTCCTTTTTGGTATAAATAGTGGTGGAGGATTTCCTTTTCTTGATTGCGAAAGGAGGTACTTCAGTGCTCTGCTGAAAACGTTTAGTAACAGTTTAGTATCTCAGACTTTACTGATCGAACTATATCCTTGGAGTTTAGTAAGAGTAGTTGCTTTAACGATCTCTTTAGTAAACTTGGAGTTCAGTAACAGTAGTTACTTTAACGATCACTTCAGTAAACTTGGAGTTCAGTAACAGTAGTTACTTTAATGATCACTTCAGTAAACTTGGAGTTCAGTAACAGTAGTTACTTTAACGATCTCT